ACTGAGAACAAACCAGCTGTATATGGATAGAAAATGAAATGAACAAGTGGGACAAAAGTGGAAATGGGCATAAGACAAACATGCATCTTCTCATCATTTATTCAACTTATATGATAAGGTGATACTAAGAGAACTAGAATTTCTACCAGGTTTTATGACTGGTAGATACAATCTTAACAGCAAAAGTTACATGGATATAACTGTAATGATGACAGATATAGAAAGAAAACTACAAGAACTTCTAAACAAGGTAACAAAGAAAATCAAAAAGAAAGACCAAACCATGATTTGTAAGAAGATAAAATGTTTGGCTGTGTTATAAAATAAAATAAGACATATCTCGGCTGATTTACAGGCAAATACTCAAGAGCGAGAGCCGGATGTGAACGGGACAAAACCCCGTCACAAAATGACAATTATCTTCATTTACAAATGTTCCCGACACATGTGTTCCGGTCGAAAAATAAAATAATATTTAAAGTGTTCTATTTTTCGTCCAATAAAAATGCTTCCCTCCTAATTATACTCGATTCACTTTTCGAGCCTGTTAAGCCATAAAAAAAAACCCTATAAAAGGGGTCACACGGAAGTTCAACAAGCAGTCCACAGGTGGCCAGAGTAGAGACCTGTCACAGTCAGCAGCTGCCAGCAGGGGAACATCAAACACCATCAACATGTGTGAACTACTATGAGAGATCGACCTAGATCCGAAGCTGGCTTATGAACTTTACCACAAAGTAGCTGTCCCAAACCCTCACGTTCCTGTTGAAATAAACCACGTAAATCTATTTCTGCTGTGGGTAGTCATGGCTCTTCACAGCTTCCTGTACTTGCATCTCGAAGAAATATCTGACATTTTACCATACCTCTTTGTCTTCACTCTGTTATCCTATCCATTCAGTGCACTTTCTATACATTTAGAAAATTATTTTGATTAAAACTACCTCACTGAAGTCCTTTAGAATAACAAAACATACCACACAGTGAATTTTTCGATTTTGTCATTCAATGTTCATGATTATTAGAATATATAGAATTTATTTATAATATTCTTCCACATATATATGTGACATATATATATATATATATATATATAGAGAGAGAGAGAGAGAGAGAGAGATTAGGAAAATTAATAAGAAAGTGGAAAAAATGATGTTTATGTTGATGAAGGAGGGAGAGGGGATGTTGAAATTTTAAATTTAAATCTAAACATTTTTTTAAATGTATGTTTGGCTATACCGTCTGGACGATTAAATTTGGTTTCTTTTTTGTTTATGTTTTTATCACTTTTGTTATTTAAATTATTCTGATATATCAAAATTTATATATAATTTTCATATATATATATATATATATATATATAAATAAAAGGCAGGATGTGCGTGTGTGTAACGAATGCACATGCTCAAAGTTATTGGAAAGGCCAAGACTGACTTTGCATTTCCCAACTACCATCGATAGTGGAAATAATTGATTTTTTCATGCTTCTATGGCAGTTTTCATGTAGTTTTCAGCCATTTTCTACTGGCCAGAGTGAGAGCCTATAACGGGATGCCACGAACAGGCAGGAAGATTCTATTGGCCAACGTGAGAGGCAACAGCTGACTGACACGAATGTTAACTAGCATGCAAAAAAAATCGATTGCTGCATTTGTCACAAGTGGGAAAAATTTAAATCTGCATGGCACTTTACTTCAATTGGCTCATTCGCTTTCTTAAACTCAACGTTGATTCTGATTCCACAGAACTGGGTTGGATGTGAAAAAGTATTTGTTGTTAACATTCTTTTTTCATTTGATTTTTCCAGTTACGAGTCCTTTTTTAAAGCTGATCATTTTGTGTTCATTTTGTTTAGTTCTTTTTTCGTAACAGATTTAATGTTTAGTATAGAGCTTAGAAAGAATTTGCTATGTCTATATATATATATATATATATATATATATATATATATGTGTGTGTGTGTGTCTCTCTCTCTCTCTCTATATATATATATATATATAAATATATATATATATATATATATAGAGAGAGAGAGAGAGAAAGAGAGAAAGAGAGATACACACAAATAAAATATAAGAGAAAAGGAAGATTTTTCTATACCAATAGGTTGTGTTCCTTGAGCTTTATTAATGTAAATACGGGGATTTTATTTCATAACTTGTATTTATAAGCAAAAATAACATGGAAGAGAAACATTTTTAAGTTTTCAAATTTTGAATATGAGAACACTCTAAAATATTCTTAATGCTTGCTTTGTAGGGAAAGGTAAACTATGGAGGATGCTAAGTGATATAATTTATTGTAAAAGTGAGTGAATGTTGTTGATGTTATTTGATTTTTATTTTATTCTATTTTTTAATGAAATTATAACTTATTTCTGTGTATTCTATTCTATTTTAATTATTTATGTATTAATTTATTTATTATAAACATTTAAAGGACTTGAATTTTCTGTTATTTAAAAACAAATTATATTCATGTATGCTGGATTGGGAAAAGAACATTCAATTTTAAGAAAGGAAATATTTGAAAAACTCTAGGGTGAAAGTTAACAGTTTGGCAAAAATCAATACCTTCAAGAACTTTTCATCTATTTTAATAAGTACAGTTTTTTGAGATCGAATTTGTAGTAGAACATATTTTTGTGCATACACGGTGCGATGAATAAATTGTCATCTAAATTATGTAAAAATGAAATTAACACTGACATCTCATTTTAACAAATATATTTACCAAAATTACACAAACATATCTTGAAGCAAATGTATTCAATAAAATCACCAGTATCTTCAACCATGGCCTCCAGACAACTTTGGAATCTCTTGCAACTCTTCTAGATGGTCTTCTTGTTTAAGTTGGTGAATGCTGCCATAATCTTTGAATTCAGTTCATCTTTGGCATTACAAGTTTTGTTGGTCTCTTGTTCATCTGCGCCCAGCACATAATAATCAAGGGGGTTGCAGTCTGGGGAGTTAGGCGGCCAGATGTAAAGGGTGATGTGGTTGCAGAAATTGTCTGACAGCCATGACTGGGTTCTCCTTTTTGTGTGGCATGGTGCAGAGTCCTGTTGCAAGACATAGTGTCTTCCAGCAGCCACCCTCTTGACTCACGGTAACACTACCTCCTCAAGCCACTTGAGGAGGTAGTGTTGCCATGATGTAGGCCTCCATGTTGAGTCTGAGGTCCTCACCAACAAATTCAGGAGTTTATTTTCTTATCAGAATGATCACAGTGAGTTTTCTGAGCTGCTGCATCTTTGTACTCACCGTTAGACTCATCCAACTCTTTTCTAATTCTCTGCACTGTCCTCATATTGACACACAAACACTCAGAAATGTTTGTATTGGAGCTTCCGTCGCGAATGCCAAGCTGTTTCCAAATTTCTGGTAGAGTGAATTGTGTCATAGTCAGTCAACAAAATCAAAAAAAATAACACACATACATGAAATTAAAAATATAAAATGGTGACAATTTACTCATACCTAGAAGAATTAGACCAGAAGTAGGATAAGAACAGTGAGGGTTTATTAAATACACAGGAAAATATGGAATATGATATTTGTGCTCAGAATGATATTAGAAAGAGTAATACAAATGCAAAAGGATGTATACCTGTGTTTAATAGATTATGCAAAAGCATTTGATAAAGTCCATCACAGAGAACTATTGGAACTGCTAGGTAAACTTGATATATTTGGGAAGGATATTAGAATAATCCAGAACTTATATTTGGGAAGGACATTAGAATAATCCAGAACTTATATTTGGGAAGGACATTAGAATAATCCAGAACTTATATTTGGGAAGGATATTAAAATAATCCAGAACTTATATTTGGGAAGGACATTAGAATAATCCAGAACTTAAACTGAGAACAATCACCCACATACAGAAAGAAAATGAATTCAGTAAATATACAAAGATAGAAAGGGTGGGTGTAAAACAAGGATGTGTCTTCTCACCGGACTTATTCAATCTATATAGTATGGCAATTCTGAGAGAAATCAAAACTCTACCAGGATTTATTACTGGTGGCCACAATTTTAACAATGTAAGATATGCAGAAGATACAGTGTTGATAGCAAACACAGAAAGGAAACTACAAGAACTTTTTCAGAGGGTAATAAAGGAATGAGAGAAGAAAGGGCACTGCACATATCAAATGCAAGAAAACATAATGCAGGGTTGTCAGCAAAAGAGACAGTCCAACATGCAAATTACAAATTGGAGATGCTAAAATGAAGCAAATACAACAATTTAAATATCTTGGAAGTGTTTTAACAGAGGATGGAAAATGTGACACTGAAATTTGAAGGTGCACTGGCATAGCGAAATATGTCTTTCAAAAGCTAAGCAAAGTATAAGAAACAGAAAAATTTCATTGGAAACAAAGAAAAGAGTACTGAACTGTTATATAATATCAGTCCTCCTATATGGTAATGATTGCTGGACCATCTTTGCACAGATATACAAAGAAAGTTGAGGCAATAAAAATATAGTTCTACAGAAGGATGCTGAGAATACCATGGACTGAATATGTGATTAATGATGAAGTTTTAGAGAAAATGGAAACAAAAAGTACACTTATATTTAACATCAAAAATAGAGGGTTAAAATTTCTAGGGTACATAATGAGTAAAGAGGGGTTGGAAAATTTAATACATCGGACATATTGAAATCAAAAGGGGCAGAGGAAAGCAGCACATAATTTAGCGAAGGAGACTGAATAAATGGATAACAGTACAGGGTATCAGAGATAACAAAAAAGACAAAATTTGCTGAGAGCTACCGGAAATTGTGGAGAGACATAATCGACAATGACCTGAAGACATATGACACATAGAAGAAGAATCATATGTTTATGTGTAAAAGGTTTATATGCGTTCGTACTTGCATGCACATAAAATCACATACACAAACATGTGTAAATGTTCAGTCAGTGAAGAAACAGCAATGTTTCTGTCCTACAAGTACACAATGATACTATTAACAAAACTTACTTGATAAATAACGTCAGTTGCTGTCTGTAACTTCATCACCAGAGTTGAAGTCTTTGGTTCGCCGCATGGTTCTCCACCACTCCGGACACTTCTCCTCGATCCTAGCCTGCGTGTATTTTCGCTAAATTCTTTGTCTGGCATTATGGTCACCGAACCGTCCATCCATGAAGTTCCGGGACACGAGTGACACACAAAATGGCCTAGCTCGGTGACTCCGGTGTCAACCGCATTCAACTCTTCCTCCATACGTGGCACGGTATTTCTTCTTTGATTATTGAATCTGATGATGCACACAGACACGGATGACGTTATGATCATAGACACAGCAACAGCTATCAAGACAAAAAGCACCAGAAAGTAAACATGAATCTTATCGTCAGGTTTAACTACGTCGCGAGCCTTGTCCAATGTTTCAAAGGTTTTGTTGCTGACCTTTAAGATTAGCGACAGCGCCGTGTTTGTCGAAAGAGACGGGCTACCGCTGTCTCGAACGAGTAGTTGTAAATCATAGAAGCCCGCATCTTGTTGTGTCACTGCGCGATTGAAGTACAAAAGGCCGGTATACTGATTGATGGCCAACAACTGCTTCTCGTTGCCTGTGATGATTTCAAATTTTAAAAACGCATTTTCCCGACTGTCGCTGTCGGAAGCCCTGAGTTGAGTAATGTTGTGTGAGCTCAGTTGTGGGTAGTGGACTTCCATTGTGAAAGGGTTAATCTTTGGGAAGGTAAAATGTGGGGCGTTGTCATTCTCATCCAAGACATCAACGACCACACAAACGGAATTATTCAGCGACGGCATGCCGTTGTCTTTCGCGACAATCCTGAACTCAAAGCGATTTTGCATTTCGTGGTCAAGCGACGCGATCGTCGTAACTATCCCTGTCTTTGAGATATGGAACGGCAACAGTTCTTTGTTGGGTGACTGCAAAAAATAGGTCACTGTGCCACCAGCTCCAAGGTCTGGATCTGTTACGTTGATTACTCCGAGAAAAGTTTTAGGCTCCTGGTTTTCTTTGATATGGAATGAGTAGTCATTTTTAGAAAATTGGGGTTTGACGTCATTAACGTCCATCACGTGAATGAGTAATTTGCTTCTAGCATAAAGAGGTGGGCTTCCTCGATCCTGGCACTTGATTTCCACTTCATCATTGCTTTGTGTCTCCCTGTCTACATGTTCCTTGATAATGACTTGATATGTCTTCGGTCTCAGACCCAGCAATTGAAACTTTTCATGATTCAAATCACACGTTACTTCCCCATTAGGTCCTGCATCATTGTCAATGACCTTCACATAAGCAATGAAGCTCCCAACCTCAATATCTTCTGAAATGACCACTATGTTGTTTCCCGAAGCAGAGACAATGTTCATTTCAATTGTTGGTTTGTTATTTCGTTCACTGACCACATTAACCAGAACTACGGCGACAGAACTTAACGATGGTTCACCCCCATCCCTGGCTTCAATATACAGTTTATAGGTCAATGTTTGACCCTGGGGAAATTCGTTTCGCAAGAAGATCTCTCCAGTTACTTCATTAAGCTCGAAGTGCGATCTGGTCGTTTCTGTCGTCTGCGGACTGAAATGAAACGATATTTTTTCTGTTTGGCCAGAATCTAAATCTTTGGCAGACAGCGTGACAATAGGATTGACACTGTATTGATCCTTTTCCCTGTTTATTGAAATATTGTAAACTTCATGCGTAAAAACAGGGGCATTATCATTTACATCTTTGACTGATACTTTTACTTCCAAAATGCTCTGTCTGGGCGGCGTTCCTCCATCTTTGGCAAATAATTCCAGGACGTACCAGTCTTTTGACTCCCGGTCAAGTTTCCCTTCAACACAAACAGCAAGATCAGCCGTTCCATCGACACGTTTCGATACAGACAACGCAAACGGTTCGTCTCGCTTCTTTTTCATCTGATATGTAATATGTGAATTTAATAAGCTCACATCTTTGTCGACAGCATTTGGGATTGCTATCTTTGTTCCGCTCGCGACGTCCTCCGAAAACTCAATGTGTATTTGCTTCTTGGGAAACACCGGCCGATGGTCATTAACATCTTCAACTATGATCTTAACTTCTAATATCTCAATAAAGGACTCTGCCCAGTGAACGGCCACGTCCATTACTATAAGGCAGACAGAGTTCCGGGTACACAGAGTTTCGGCGTCTAGTGTCTTCGCCGTGTATAATTTACCTGTTTTCTCAGATACGCGAAAAAGTCGCGGCAGGTCAGTTATACTTTGCTTTAACTGGTTGAATCTGACTAAGCTTTTGTTTCGATTGGCTATCTTTTCCATCAGGTGAAAATCGGCTGAAATATCTCCCAGGTAGGTGCCAGGACTTTTACCCTCTTCCACGTAATAGGTGAGGCTTGTACACAAAATCAAACTGGAGTGGAAGAAGAACAGAAGAAAAAATGGAAGCCGAAGGTACAGTGTTGTTTGTGGAGCATGTTCCAGCGTTTTGTAGGAACAGTTATCGTCTGCCAACATCATGTAACCTTTATCTGAAATTCAACGGAATGCAGATCGTTAAACAGGGTACATTAAACTGAGTACATTAAATAGGGTACATTAAATAAAAGAAAGAAAAATGTTTAAAGGACAAAGAAAATAATAAATAAACAAATAAAAAATTTTTTTTTCATGGAAAAATAAAAACATTAAGTTATTGGTCCGTGTTTTTAAAGAGTGAATAAAAAATGGCATTGGCTTTGGTCAAAATTTTAATATGGATGCCATGTCTCTCCAGGACTTCAGTAATCATTACTCACCACAGATTCCTTTACAATCTAATACTAATGCCATGCATTCTTGCGACATATAGACGAGTGGTTCCCTGTTGTCTTCTCTAGTGCTTGAATTCAGAACTGCCCTTCTGCCAGACTGGCTTCAAGACATAGCTGTTCATAGCTCTCCACTAATTCCTTATTTTGTATTATATGTGAATTGCCATGGTAGTGGAATGGGTTCCCTCTAACTTCTCTGCAGTTTTGAATGCAGAGTTTTCCTTCTATTATACTGATTTCCAACCGATGTTAGAGATCACAGTTTACTTTGCTATTTAATCTGTAGCTGGTGGGAGATAAAGAAAAAGATATAGATTCATGCCTTTCCCAATGGTATCGGTGTGAAAGGCAACAGATTAGTCCAGAATTTGAATTCGGCTTGTTCTGATGTCAATTACACTTCTGCACATCCATTTTGATCGCAACACAATCAATGAAGAGGGATATGAACGGCATAGAATGAAGTATTGTTTTGAAATACTGAATGTCAGGTGACTTAGAAGAGAACAAGATATAAGAAGGAAGAGAGGACACTGAACAAAAGGACAAAAATTAGATACAAAAACTAATAATACAAATACAAGAGATTCAAAAATGGTTAAGAAAAATCCATTTGGATTTTCTCCTTCCTTCCCCAACTTACAACCTGTAAATAACTCTGGCATGATGTAACAAACAGAGTATTCAAGCAAAAACAGTCACCTCAGAAATGAAAGGTGCCTCAAAGTGAGTAATGACAAAATCAACCAATCAAGAAACAGCATTAGGAATTACTAACTCATTTTTTGTAATCATGCCACTAGGATGCATGGGGTTATGAAGAGTGAAAGAGAATGAGAAGTATTTTAAACAGTATTTATTTCATCTACCAGCCTGCATGCCTAAGAAAATTTAATAAGAGAATGTGCCCTCCAGTAAGATTTGAGCCTGTGTTCCCCTTTGCAGAAGGAATCGCTGTCTGATCCAGTGGGCTTTTACTGCTTGACTATGAAAAGCTTCACAATAAAGCAGGGTTCTATTTTGCCTTTAAATAAGCACACTGAAATATAACTGTGCAGTTTCATATCCAAAATATAAACAAAGCAATTTCCAAAGAATTAATAAATTTTATTTTTTGAATCTTGAGATTTTATTATTTCATATATATATATATATATATATATATATATATATATATATATATATGTGTGTGTGTGTGTGAAAAAAATATATAGAAAATAGGAAAGAAATATATATATATATATATATATATATATATATATATATATATATATATATATATATATATGTGTGTGTGTGTGTGTGTGAAAAATATATAGAAAATAGGAAAGAATATATATATATATATATATATATATATATATATATATATATATATATATATATATATATATATATATATATATATATATATATAATATATATGTATGTATATATATGAGGTGCTCTTTGCTCTTGTTGGCATTTGTACAAACATTTTTTAATAACATGTGTCTGATTCCTCCTGAACTGTTGGCCTTGCATCATACTAAGTTTAGTAAACTTTAAAAATGGTTTGAGTTTTTGTCTTGTAAGGTTAATGCTCAGTAGAGTTTGAAGTTTACGGTTAAATGTTTTGTGACACATTTTAGAAGATTCGAGGAGGAAATAAAAATATAGGGAAAAGTAAGAAAAGAAATTGAACTGAAACTGAAAAATGCATCAAGAACTGAAAAAAATCAGTAAAAAGATAAAAAAAAATGGAAAAAATTATGTGTATGAATTTGAAAATTGTCTAAAAAGGATAAAAAATGAACACACATGTGTAAGCTAATATCTATAAAAATATCAAATAATATTTAAGTAAGCATAAGTTAGTAAAAAATAAACTGTAAAATATTCATGAGTAATCTTTTGGAAAATAAAGAAAGTATAATGAACACATAAAATAAATAATGAATTATATATATATGTATATATATATATATGTGTGTGTGTGTATATATATATATATATATATAGATAGATATATATGTGTATATATATATATTTTTATATATATATATATATATATATATATACAAACCTATTTGTGCATATCTATCTATCTATCTATCTATCTATATTTAGATAGATAGATATGCACAAAGAGGTTTGTATATACATATATATATGTACACATATCTATCTATCTATACTAATGGGGAAACCCGACATTGATCAGAAGATCTCTGAATAATAGTTTCTTATTGACAATTCATTGTCATTTTTCAGCCATATTATGGAAAATAATTTTTTATTCAGTCTTTAAAAAATAAACTCGATTGCTTTTTTGGTTTGTTGCAAAATAACAAAATTTAGGAAAATACCACTCTACCAATACCCAACTCTAGTCGGGGGTGCTTAGAGGGATAAACATCCCCATAATTTTATTCAAAGCAACACTTTATTTTTCGATTTAAATACTGACATAAATACTCTGTTAATGCTGCTTTCAAATAAATCAAACTTAGATAAAAGTTCATTAACCTTTTTTCAAATTATTATTAATGAAAAAAATAAATAAACTTAAATTAAGATATATTTAAACATATTCAGTCATTTTTTTTTCAAGTAAAAATATTGTGAGATTTACTTCTTTGAAAATAAATCATTTACAATCTATTTTGGAGAGGAATTTAGATATTTTAAGTAAATAAAGTTTTACTTTTAAAAATTACATTAAAGAAGCAAACATTTCCCTGTAAATGAATTAAATTACTATTTTGAAAGAGAGTAGAAGCAAGGTACATTGAGAATTTAGTTTTGAAAAGCAATTATGTTTAAATTTCACATTATATTTGTATTTGAAAAGAAAAAAACTTTTTAGTTAGATAAAAATTAGCAGAGACATACATCACTTATGGTCAAGATTAATTGTGTTGAATATTTTTTTTATGAATTTAAAAATTTTCTATAAAATAAGGCTCGCTATAGCTTTTTGCTTTAATAAAACTTAATTTAAAATTATTTACTTTTTTAACCAAAAAAACAATGAAGTTTATTTTTTAAAGATTGAATAAAAAAAAACATTTTCCATAAGATGGCGGAAAAAAAAGTCAATAATACACCCACACACACATACAAACAGACAACTGCCCTTTGGGGTGATACTAGATTGTTCTTGATTTTCATTGGTTCCAGATTTATCTTTTCATTAATTATTGTTGCTTTTTAGTTTTAGCTAGACAGACACATACTCGAATATTTGAATAAAAAAAAATATTAAAATTTTTTTAAATAATTGTATTTAATATTCTTCTTTTAAATTTACTTTATTGCATTAATATTAATGTTTTTTAACTTACATTTTTAATTACTATAGATGTGAAAATAAATTCAAGAGAATAGAAATTTTAAAAATACAAGTTTAAATACATCTCAATTTAAGTGTTTTTACTTTTTTATTAAAAATAATCCCTACGTAATAAATAGTAAATTATTATTTTTCGATAAAATAAGGCAAGCTATAGTTTTTGCTTTAAAAATGATTAAATGAAATATGGTTAAATATATCTTAATTTAGGTTTATTTACTTTATTTAGATGTTTTAGCTGGACACACACACATACTCAAATATTTGAATAAATAAATATTAAACTTTTTGTCATATAATTGTATTTAATATTCTTACTTTAAATTTACTTTGTTGCTTTAATATTCATTTTTAGGCTTTTAATTACTACAAAAAATTCAAGTGAATAGAAATTTTAAAAATATATACATATAAAGCATTTTGAAAGTATCACCAGAATTAAAAAGTAAAAACAAACAGTAATCCTAATCAGGAGTAAGAATTATTACCATTCGTTTTTACATTTTAATTCTGAAAATTTTGAATGCATTCTAATGTGTATATATATATATATATATATATATATGAAAGACACATACAAAGGCATAATATGTAAATTAACATTCATATACATACATACACACACATATGCAAACATTGATATAATCTAAAAGTAAATTAGCATAAAATTAAGAAGAATTAAAAATCCATTAATAAAATTAAAATATTTCTCTCTTTTCGCTATCCCTGTTCTTTATATATATGTATAAATATATATATATATATATATATATATATATATATATATATATATATATATATATATATATATATATATATATATATATATATATATATCACAGTCTGTTTATACCTATTTTTCTATATCTATCATAGTCTGTTCCTATCATTATATGCATAGACACACACCTATATGCATTTTATAAATATCATTTTTTTAAGTATTTGATGGATTTATTAAGATTATTTTTTTAATTTTTTCTTATAGTATCTCTTAATATTACAAATGTTACATTTAGTTTCTACTCATTTTGAGGGGATATTCATGATTTTTTAAACAGTAAGATTAAAATGGGAATATAGGTTCAATTCCTGTTGAGAGGCACATTTTCTTTAGTAAGACTTTCAATATGTAGTTCGATAAACATTAATTTCTTAAAAAAAGCAAATGACAACTAAATGAAAATGGTGGGTTTACCCTGATTAACTAATTGGGCCCTTTTTTCAAAATTAAATGCTAAAGACAGTGGAATTATACTCCATTTGTTCTTATCTCATATCTGTGTATATATATATATATATATATATATAATTGAATTGACATACACTTTATACACTGTGTGCCAAATTATTATCAAGATAACTTTTTTTCT